TTTTTTTTTTTTTTTTTTTTTTTTTTTTTTTTTTTTTTTTTTTTTTTTTTTTTTTTTTTTTTTTTTTTTTTTTTTTTTTTTTTTTGTGGATTATGAAATATGCAATGACCCACTTCAAAACTATTCCGTTTTTTTTTTTTTTTTTGTTTTATATTCTTTAGATTTTCACCTTTAATAAATAAACAAAAATTTAAAAACTAATTTTTTTAGTTTTCAAAATTTGACTTTTTAGGATAAAAAATAGATAGGGATAGCAAAGTAAAAAAAATTAAGTAATGTTAATAAATTTAATTTTAAAAAAGTAATTGATTATTAACTGATGGGTAATTAATTCAAAGTAGTACACATAATTATTATTTCATAAAAAGATTAATTACTGAAGAAAATAATAATAATAATAATTCATTGTTACTGTGAGATGGCAGGACCCAAATGGGGCACTTTCTATGTGGGCCCAATTCAATTTGGGGTGTGTTATGGTTCTGTTGTTGCTGGAATTCTTATTGGCGGTCAAAACATGAAGGTGATATTTTACCATTATATTATTACCAAAAGATTAATTTGTCTGAGTTATTAATTCAGTAAAAATATAATCTTTTTAATTATTAATTATTAATTTTGTTTTGGCAGTATATTTATGTGCTCTCAAATCCAGAAGGGACAATGAAATTATACCAATTTATAATAATATTTGGATCATTAATTCTGATTTTGGCTCAAATTCCATCTTTCCATTCTCTAAGGCACATTAACCTTCTCTCCCTCACTCTCTCCCTTGCTTACAGTGCCTGTGTGACAGTTGCTTCTTTAATACTAGGTAAAGAAGGTTATATATGTAATTTCACACTAATTTCCTTCTTAGTCTGTGAAATTACCCTTTAATCCTTCCCATCCACAGGTTATTCCAAGAATGCTCCTCCCAAAGACTACTCCGTTCAAGGGTCCGCAGTCGGACAGCTATTTAATGCCTTCAATGGCATTTCAGTCATTGCAACTTCTTACGCATGTGGAATGGTTCCCGAAATACAGGTACAAATTTGAAATTTGTCTATAAAAAATTGTAATTTGAAATTTGTCCCTACACAAAGTTACACGAATAATGGTGTAAATATGGTCTTATATACATTATTTTTAAGGTGAGATCCTACATCAGTTAGGGAGAGGAACGAAACATTTTTTATTAGGGTGTGAAAACCTATCCTTATCATATGCATCTTAAAAGAAAATTCAAAGAGAACAATATTTACTAGCGGTGAGTTTGGGTTGTTACAAAATGGTATCAGAATCATACATCAAACAATGTTCCAACAAAAATGCTGAGTTTCGAAGGGAGTAGACACGAGGCGATGTGCCAGCAAAGAAAGTGGATTGAAGATCTCACATTGATTGGAGAAGGGAAGAGTGTCAACGAAGAAACTGGCCCCAAAGGGGGTGAATTGTGAGATTTCACATCGGTTGAGAAGAACGTTAATTCTTCGTCTTATATATTTTTACTGAAAATTAATGGTTTAAAATAAAATTAAAACTTATGGAAAATTTGTTGATGAATTTTTGCAGGCAACTTTAGTAGCTCCAGTGAAAGGCAAGATGTTCAAAGGGCTGTGTCTTTGTTACGCAGTGATAGCAGCCACCTTTCTGAGCGTAGGCATTTCGGGGTATTGGGCCTTTGGAAATGAGGCCAAGGGAACAGTTCTTACTAATTTCATGGGCCAAAATCAGTTACCCTCTTGGCTTCTCATCATGACCAATGCCTTTTGCCTCTTGCAAGTCTCAGCCGTCACCGGCGTAAGATCCTATCCTTCCAAAATTTTAAATCCAATAAAATCATAAACTTTAAATAAAAAATTCGAGTTTCAACACGTGACGTATTAATTGTATTTGATCGTTTATTTGTGTAGGTTTACTTACAACCCACGAACGAATTATTTGAGAAGAAATTAGCAGACCCAACTAAAAAACAATTTTCGACTCGTAACATCGTGCCGAGATTGATATCACGATCCTTAACGGTGATCATTGCCACCATATTTTCATCCATGTTGCCTTTCTTTGGAGATCTAATGGGACTAATTGGAGCATTAGGGTTCATTCCTCTCGACTTCATCATGCCAATGATTTTCTACAATGCGACTTTCAAGCCTTCGAAGAGAACTTTTATTTTTTGGATAAATACTGTGATTGTGGCGATTTCATCCGTACTTGCTACAATTGGAGGTGTTGCAGCCATTCGACAAATCGTTTTGGATGCTAAAGAATATCGTTTATTTGCTAACGTGTGACCTAAATATCACTGATAGTCACTTATAGCAAATGTTATAAAAAAAATAAGTGTAGGTTGTCATGTTTTAATATAATATCGTTTTTTAAAATTGAGTTTTTAATTCAATTAAGTATGAAAGATACTATTGTTATGGACGACCTTACTCATTTATCTATGGAAGAATTGATTGAAATTTATAATGGAAGTTACGTCTTATGAGAGTTATTTAGTTGACACTATTAATTGTGGGCTAAGTAAATCCCGTTCAAACTACGTAATTCTAATTTTAAGAGAAGATGAGAAATTTTAAATCATTTTTCTTGTAAATATATTATTATAACTTCGATATAGCATTCATGTTTACCCCTACATTTTTAATATAGAAATTGAGACACTGAAATTAAAAATTTGACTTGCCAATTGATAGGTGATAGTACATTAGAGAAAGATTTAAAGCCGAACATGGTTGCTTCGTAGGATTTGAGTGCAGTATGAAACTGCGTGTGTTATATGCTAGAGTTGATTGGTAGGTATTTTAAATGTAGATATGGTCTATATCAAAGTTGAACCAACATTTATAGCAGTTGAGACAAGGCATGAAATCTCTCCAATGTTAAAATTCAAACTTTTTAATTTTTTAATACTTTACATGCTTTTAAAATAAATTTCAAATTACAGATTTTTTATTTTATTTTATTTTATTTAAACTATATCTTCAATTAATATTTATGTATTTCTTTGTAATCGTAAATGTCTATTTTTATATTCCCAATGAGTTGGCCATTGAAAAAAGTTGATTTAGAATAAATCCAAAATAGATTTCAAGGTTCTTATCAACTTGCAGCCCACCGCAGAGTCCACGATGTAGTCAAGTTCGGAGCACTTTTTATTTTATTTTATATGCAGACATGTGGCTATTGTGCCGTCTTCACCCATCTTTCAAGGACTCCTCCAATGCCTAAAATATCTCCTTCACATGGATGTCAAAATTTGTGAATAAAAAAATTTATAAAAACTAATAATTAAGTTAATGTTTATAAAATATGGATTAAATGTTTAATATCATGACATATAAATAAATATTTTAATAGTTAGTGTATCAAACTAATTGGACGTTCAAGTAGTCGGTTAATTAAAAAGATTTCATTTTAAAAAAAAAAAAAAAAATTCATGAGTATTATTGATTTAATTACTAATTTATTATTCTCTCTGTTAAAAATAATTTAATTTTTATATATCTCTGGTTTTAAAAAAGTTATTTTAAAAAGACTTTTAGTTTTAAAAATTTAAAAGCTTGAAAAAGTGCTAAATTTATAATTGTTGGCGATGTTTTTCAAGAAAGTTGAGTAGGGACAGGAGAGTACAATTTTATAAAGTAAAAAAGCATTAAAAACTTTAAACATCGTGTCATTATTAAGAAGAGGATGAGGGGCACTGTTTTGTTTGGGGACTGCCATAGTTCGAATCTCGAGAGACTTAAAAGTAAGAGAAAATGGGAACTGAGGCACAGATCTCCGGTGATGCTGTGGCGAGAGAGAAAGAGAACGGCGGCGCTCATGTCCAGTCTACGGCGGAGCTCGACGCCGGAGCTCTGTTTGTGCTTAAATCCCGAGGTTAGCGTTTGTTTGTTTGTTAGTTTCTTCTCGACGGTAGGGGTGAAGATATGAATTGTATTTTCTTTTGATGAAATCCCACTTTAGCTAATTTTTTTTTGGGGGTGGGGCCTTTTCGGAAGCCTAAAACAAAGCCACCAAAGCTTAGACTGTATCTTCAAAGAGACAAATATTATCATTGTGGAGAGTTATGTTCATTTAACATGGTACTAGAGTCATGTCCTAAACTTAGTATGTTAATAAAATCCTCAAATGTAAGACAGCTTATTATGAACCTGGAAAACATGGTCAAAAAGTGATTAAAGTATGGAACAAATAGTATATATTTAAGAAATGATCGTGGGTTTATAATCAAAGATAAAAGTAGTATTTTCATTTATGTTTTGAAGAAACAGAAACAAACAAACAACGTGAATTACCAAACCCTTTCTCAAAAACTATAAATAAAAATCACATGAAATCACAAACGTATACAAAGAAGACACCAAACGTTTCTATTTTTTTAAAAAAAATTATATATAAAAGATAAATTATCTAATAAATCATTAAATTTTTATTTATTATGGAACAAAATATTTTTTTTACTAATTATAATTTGATGATGTATTTTCTTGCGTTGGTGATATGGATGATAGGATCATGGTTGCATTGTGGGTATCACTTGACAACATCCATAGTGGCTCCGGCGCTACTAAGCCTTCCTTTTGCGCTGAGTGTGCTTGGTTGGGTTGGAGGAATTATAAGCCTTCTTGCTTGTGGTTTCCTCACTTTCTATTCCTACAACCTCTTATCCATCGTCTTAGAGCATCATGCTACATGTGGTACTCGTCTACTCAGATTTCGGGATATGGCTACTTTTATTCTTGGTACATTCTCTCCTTTTCACTATCTTCAAAATTTCGTATATTATGAATATAATTTCTGGTAGATTCTTAAATTTTCAATTGAAGGATCGAAGTGGGGCACGTACTTCGTGGGCCCAATTCAATTTGGCGTGTGTTATGGTGTTGTTGTTTCTGGAATCGTCCTCGGTGGTCAAAATCTTAAGGTGAGATTTTTTCATTATATATTACCAAATTTCTTTTATGCATGAAATTATTTATGGATAAAAGAAATTCAATTTATTGACTTTTTAAGTGTATTTATTACTCAAATTAATTATGGGTTTAAATGAAAAATTATTAATTATTAATTTTGTTTTGGCAGTATATTTATGTGGTCTCAAATCCAGAAGGGACAATGAAACTATACCAATTTATAATTATATTTGGAGCATTAATTCTGTTATTGGCTCAAGTTCCATCGTTCCATTCTCTAAGGCACATCAACCTTCTCTCTCTTGTTCTCTCTCTAGCTTACAGTGCCTGTGTAACAGCTGCTTCTTTACATCTAGGTAAAGAAGGTTATATATGTAATTCCACACTAATTTTCTTCTTAATTTGTGAAATTACCTTTAAGGACTTCCCATCCACAGGTTGTTCCAAGAATGCCCCTGCAAGAAACTACTCTCTTGAAGGGTCTGAAGTCAGCCAGTTATTTAATGCCTTCAATGGGATTTCAATTATTGCAACTACGTATGCGTGTGGGATTCTTCCAGAAATACAGGTATAATTAGCTTATAAAATTATATATATTAACATATTTTTAGTATTTAAAAAAAAAAAAAATTCAAAGCAATTTTAAAAAATATATACAAATTTTAATGGAATTTATTGGTGAATTATTGCAGGCAACTTTAGCAGCCCCAGTGAAAGGCAAGATGTTCAAAGGGCTATGCCTTTGTTATACAGTGATAGCAGCCACCTTTTTCAGCGTAGCAATTTCAGGGTATTGGGCTTTTGGAAATGAGGCTGAGGGAACCATTCTTACTAATTTCATGGGCCACAATTTGCTGCCCTCTTGGTTCCTCGTCATGACCAATGCCTTCTGCCTCTTGCAAATCTCAGCTGTCACCGGCGTAAGATCCTATCTTATATCTAATACAAACTTTAGATGTAACGTTCCAACCTCATCACTACACGATATTGTCCTATTTAGACTTTTTTTTTCAAATTTTCTCTTAAGGTTTTTAAAACGGTCTGTTAGAGAGAGGTTTTCACACCTTTATAAAAAATTATTCGTTCACCTCAATGACCGATGTGTAATCTCACAATCTACCCCCTTCGAAGCTAGCGTTCTTGTTGACACACCGTCTCATGTCTACCCTCCTTCGGGTTCAGCCTCCTCATTGGCATATCACTCGGTGTCTTGCTCTAATACTATTTGTAACCTCCCAAACCTACTGTTAGCAAATATTGTCTCTTTTGAGCTTTTTCATTCGGACACCAGTCAAGGTTTTTAAAACACGTAAATTAGAGAGGTTTTCATACATTTATAAAGAATGATTTGTTCACCTCGACACCTGATGTGGGATCTCACAATCTACACCCTTCGATGCCCAGTGTCCTCGTTGGCACTCGTTTCATTCTCCAATCGATGTGGAATCCCCCAATCTACCCCTTTTGGGGCCAGTGTTCTTGTTGACACACCGTCTCATGTCTACCCCCTTCGGGGTTCCGTCTCCTTGCTAGCATATCGTTTGGTGTCTGACTCTAATACTATTTGTAACTTCCCAAACCCACCGCTAGTAGATCCTTTTTGAGCTTTTCCCTTCAAGCTCGCTCCCCTCAATGTTTTTAAAGTGCTATGCTAGGGAGAGGTTTCTACACCCTTATAAAATAATGTCTCGTTCTCCTCTTTTAACTGGTGTGAGATCTCACAATGTAATTAAGACATAGTCTTATATCTGAATTATAATATTTGGTATGCATACAAAGAATCTGACTATTTTGTGCCCTATTATTTGATTGTTGATTTGATTAGGTTTATTTACAACCAACGAATGAAGCATTTGAGAAGAAATTTGCAGATCCAACTAAAAGTCAATTTTCGATTCGTAACATGGCACCGAGGTTGATATCACGATCGTTATCGGTCGTCACTGCCACTATATTTGCAGCCATGGTGCCTTTCTTTGGGGATCTAATGGCACTAATTGGAGCACTGGGGTTCGTTCCTCTTGACTTCATTATGCCAATGGTTTTCTATAATGTGACTATCAAGCCTTCAAAGAGTGGATATATTTTTTGGATAAACATTTTAATTATAGCAGTTTCATCAGTACTCGTTGCAGTTGGCGGCGTTGCATCCATTCGACAAATCGTGCTGGATGCCAAAGCTTATCGTTTATTTGCTAACTTGTAAACCAAATATATGTGACTATATTAAATATTAAATCGAATAAACTTTTATTATTTTTCTCTAAGGTTCTAAGGTTAGAGATGCTAAATAGCATGTGTTGAGTTATATATATAATTTTAATTTTAAAATTAAAAATATTTCATAAATATAAAGAATGATCACAACTTACTTTCTATTAATCAAATAATTATAAAATATATTTTTTTTTCACAAGTTGACTTTAATTTTGAATACTGTTATTATTATATTATTTATTTTTAAAATTCTAAGGCTGTGTCATAAATCTAGTGAAATTGAAAATTTTTCAATGTTGGGACTTTGATTAGAATCTTGAAACTTAGAGACTAAATATAAATATAGCCTAAAAATCTAATTTAATTTGTAAAAACTAAAGATTGAATACTAAATACTGTAAAAACGGTATATAAGTCCTAAAAACGGCACAAAAAATAGAAAAAAAAAACACGCCCAGTGGGATTCGAACCCACAGTCGCCTGATTAGAAGTCAGACGCCTTATCCATTAGGCCATGGGCGCTTACATATTGTCATTTATTTTTTGTATTTTATAGAAAAATTAAAAAAGAATAATTTTAAAGGTTATTTAATTTGTAAAAACTAGAGATTGAATACTCAATACTGTAAAAACGGTATAAAAGTCCTAAAAACGGCACAAAAAATAGAAAAAAAAAAAAAACACACCCAGTGGGACTTGAACCCACAATCGCCTGATTAGAAGTCAGACGCCTTATCCATTAGGCCATGGGCGCTTACAAATTGTCATTTATTTTTTGTATTTTATAGAAAAATTAAAAAAGAATTAAAACAAGAATAATTTTAAAGGTTATTTAATTTGTAAAAACTAGAGATTGAATACTCAATACTGTAAAAACGGTATAAAAGTCCTAAAAACGGCACAAAAAAACACACCCAGTGGGACTCGAACCCACAATCGCCTGATTAGAAGTCAGACGCCTTATCCATTAGGCCATGGGCGCTTACATATTGTCATTTATTTTTTGTATTTTATAGAAAAATTAAAAAAGAATTAAAACAAGAATAATTTTAAAGGTTATTTAATGTAAAAACTAGAGATTGAATACTTAATACTGTAAAAACGGTATAAAAGTCCTAAAAACGGCACAAAAAATAGAAAATAAAAAAAAACACGCCCAGTGGGACTCGAACCCACAATCGCCTGATTAGAAGTCAGACGCCTTATCCATTAGGCCATGGGCGCTTACAATTAAAATCTATTAGATATTTAAAAAGTAATAAAAAAACTGTTTAAAAACGGAAAAAATAGAAAAGTACATTTGCACGCCTAATGAGATTTGAACCCACAAACTTTTGCACCCTGTGGGATTCGAACCCACTATTGCCTAATTAACTGTAAAAACTAATGTTAAAAACTGGACAAAAAATAAAAAGAGGTAAATGCTCTTGAGCAGCCCAGTAGGATTCGAACCCACAAAGTCAGACGCCTTTCCATTGTCCTAAATTTTTATAAAACTAGTAAAAAAAAAAAAATGATGAAAAATAATAAGTAAAGAAAATAGAGAAAAATGAAAAATGATAAGATGAAAACCTATTGAAAAGCCTCTGAGTGTCTCTAAAATTAAAAAAAAAATCATCAATATTATATTAATCTTTACATTTAAATAAGTTTTATACACCTGAAATGTATGCATTAAAATGTTATCCCATAGGACTTTTATTTGTGAGGAGGTATTCAAACTTTTTAACTCTTAATTGAAAATATTTATATTACCCTAAATTTTTATTTTTAAATTTAGTTATTTATTTTTCAAATTTGCTATATAAAATTTTACTATCACTCCACTAAAGGGAGATTGGAGCTTTAAAATTTAAGTTTTTTTACCTTTTAATCGAAATTCAAGTTTTTTACCTTTAAACTTTTTACCTTCTAGAGCAGCTTATTTGTTAAGAAAGGGTAAATTTCTTCCCCTTGATACTTGTCCACAAAACACATTCTTCCAAATTGGGAAAAGGATAGATTCATTCCAACCATTCTAAGAGATTTTTTTTTTCTTTTTTCTCAAAGTTGTCCAAAAACATACTTAAACTATTCCGTTCAAATCATAAAAGTTATGTTAAGATGGTTTCTATAGGTTAATTTTTTTTGGTTGAATTTTTTAAAATTTAAAAATATGTTTCAATTTGCATGTTAACATTTTTATGTGAATCTGATCAATTGGAAAATTGTGTTACAATCCAAACCAATTCTATCATAAACAACTCTATTTTGTGGGTAGTAAATATTTGATACTTCAACTTTATGATATTTTAATTATTAATTTAATGTATGGTGGATAAATATAATTTTCTAAATAATTAAAAAAAATTCATAATTGATACGACTATAAATATAAATACGTAAATGGAAGCATTTGTTTTATATTCATATAAATTATAACTCAATTGTTCAAAGGATCCTAGCATCCCATCAATTTAGACTATTAGAACTATAGAGATGGAATTGAATTAGATTTTATTAAGTTAGGTGGGTTTACGAATTAACTCTTTTTTTTTGTTGGGTCAGATAAGCTAAAAATAGAATTACAATCTAACTCAATCATTTTTCGTTAACAACACTCTGAGTAGGATTATTAGTTTAAAATTGGAGTAATTTAAGCAATAATCTAGGCGGTAGAAAGAATCGTATTGGCGTTGTATGAACAGTTGGTAGCCAAGCATCGTATTGGCGGTAGAAAGAAGCAACTGAAAAAAGAGAGGAAAAGAGCGTAGCAGTGAAATTTTGAAATGGCGTATTACTTTCCATCTCAAAAACAGGAACACTCACCTTTCAAAACCTTTGCGCCCAAATTTTCACAACTCCCAACCAAATTTCTTCTTCCCAGACATGGTTGAGTACAGAGACATTGTTCCTACAAACCCTAAAGTGGCCTGGTTCTGGCCAAGAAATCGGGACAAATCAGGGGACAACGAAGAAGAACCTTCACCAATGCCACCTCAGAAACCTAACGTCGTCACTCTTCCGGGATCGGAAGTGGCTCCTCCTCCGCCGTTGGCGGCTGAGTGCAAGCGCCCTGGGAAGTTTTCGCATCCGGCAATCCGGTGGTCGGTATGATTCCTTCTCCATTTTCAAGATGTGCCGTTGATTTTCATCTTTTTTTAGTCTATTTTTTCAATTGCATTTAACGGCTAACTAAACTATTTTGTATTTATATTCAACCACATATGGGTCCTCTACATGTCTAAACCAAAAATATTTAAACTTTTAAAAGTTCAAATAGTATTTACTATCACAAATGTTCATTTAATCTATGATATAAGAGTCCATTTGTGCTTAGATTGGTACAAAATAAAAAGAATGAGAGTTGTGCGTAGATTCTTATTCTAGCTTTATTTAACTCTTTACATAGAGTGAGTAATGGGCGGTTGGGGAGCTATTTTTCTTTTTTTTCTCAAGCTGATGTGGGCCAATCACCTGCTGCCACGTGGTAATATATTTAATTATTATAAAAAGGAGAAATAATTATTTTCATGCATTTCATTTCATCTCCTTTCAGTTATATGCTTTGGGAGGATTCATTATTGCGAGGTGGGCTTTGAAAAGATGGAAATCTGGGGAGGACGAAGGCAAAAACTAATATTAAAAACCATATGTTCGGCGGCCAAGAAGTTAGCCTTCAAAATGCTGTGTGGGCCAAGGAATTAGGCTTCAAATAAAATTCTTTAAATTACTATGATTATTGTAATAATTACAGTAATTAAAAAATTTCGAAATTGATTACAATTATGTGGAAGACACCTTCCAACTTAAGCATGGGTTAAAACATCAGCACCTCACTCATTCTTTGAACTAAAATAATAATAATAATAATAAAAATAAAAAGAAGCAAAGCACTTAAATAATATAAATAGAATTTGTTTTTGGATTATTTCCAAAATTTTCTCCTATTTTTTTTTTACTTTTAAAATATTTTTAATTTAAACAATATATATATATATATATACACGAACATTTTTTTAATGAAATTTAATTATAGTAAAATGCACGACAGAGCTTCAGAAATGTAACAAATTAGCCCAACAAAATCTGTGTATAGAACAAGAAATTTATTCTCCATGGCCTTGAAAATACTGCCTTTTCTAACTCATTCTAAGTAATCCATGCAAATAATAATACATCATTCCAACAAATGATCAATAATCAAATAGTAACCTCCAACCATAAAAAATGACCCTAAACCACAACGAGCCATTCGCAATCCTATGCCACGAAACAGGAGACTCCGATCTGCAGGATGAATCCCCGTTGTTCTCTCAAATCTATTACCCGGTCGATGCCATTTGAGAAACTTTCTCTCCATGGCGACGTACTGCAACAAAAGAACCATGATCAAACACTCATTTCCAGGCAAGTCGAGAAATGTTGAAGGGATGATGCCTCAATACTAAGCGATGTGAGAAAAGGAAATATCTTGCACTAAGGAGGAAGATATTTTCATATGGCAAAACTATCATGATTTTTATCCAGGCTAAACTATTATTTTAAAAGTTGCAATATTATCCTTTTAACTATTATAAACGTTTCAAAACTACCCTTGAAATATAAATCTTTTAGAATTTCAAAAAGAAATTGGGACCTAAAGCAGGATAGTAGTCCAAATTTTCATTTTAGGTCCTAATTTCATTCGAAAGTCTAAAGGATTTATTCATCAATGATAGTTTTGAAACGTTTATGAAAGTTTAAGACATCGAGTGCACTAACTGCACCAAACTTTTCCATGAATGATTTTCGTACCTTGGGCAGCACAGTGCATAGTGATCGACTATTGGCAGTATCGAAACCATGAGAAACAGCTGCAGCAACTGCACCGGAAACTCCAGCTGCAAGACTAACCGAAAACGGAGACAGTGGGCCTACTTCATCATTTGACCTGGAAGAAGAGATTGACAAGAAAAATTGTTCGTCATCTCAATCTAATGAAAGGAGACAATAACAATTTACAATAATCTTTAATATAAATGAAGCTACCATAGTCAGACTATTATATCAACTAGTTACATCTAGATTTCAACAACCATACATAGGCTATCGTTAAACTATGGACAGCGGTCTAAATCCATAATTGTGTTCTTGATATCAATTGGAAACGGTAACGGCCATAGCCCACAACTAGCAAATATTGTCCTCTTTGGGCTTTCACTTTCAGACTTCCCCTCAAAGTTTTTAAAACACGTTTGTTAGAGAGAGGTTTCTACACCCTTATAAAGAATGTTTCGTTCTCCTCTCCAACTAATATAGGATCTCACAATCCACTCTCCTTCGGGGCACAACGTCCTCACTGACACTCGTTCCCTCTCCAATCGATATGGGGTCTCACAAAAACTGTTCGGTTCAAAGTGAAAAATTGAAATGGAAACGAGTTAGGCACAACTTCAAGGGCGGTCTAGTATCAAAGCATGGAACCTGGGTGGTGGATCCATCTCGATGCTTTTCCAAATTAGCATAGATCGGTGCAGAAATTGCCAGGTTGAGAAAAATACGCCGCTGAAGATGGAATCCCTCGCGATCCCAGATCGTAGACCTCTCCAAAATGCCTGCCATCCTTCCAGTGATATGATATCTAATGGCCTATGCACATTGCTAACTGTAGGTGGCCTCCCGGACCCCGTCATCATCCATGGATACTCTTGTAAGGCACCTTTTATATTTTGGTGCTTAGTTGTTAGGGTGGATAAAAGACCAACTGAATGGTTTAAGGCTTTCAGATCCAGTGTATAGCCATGAAGAAACCTTGACATAGAAGGTGCAAGAGCTCTTTCTTGTCCGACGAGAGAAACTCGGCTTGGTAATCGAACAGCAGAGGTCACCTGAGCACGAAGTTTAACAAGCTCAAATGGCGAGCATATCAATGATTCTGCTGCACCAGCCATAAGTCCAGCCAGAAGAGCCTCGGACACATGCACGTAATCATCTTCACGACCATCTGCCAAGTATGCACTAACGACCATCACAAAAACAAAATTTATTGATAGTAGATTCAAATTGAAATCAGCGGGACGAAAAATGAATATCGCAGTTTCCCGTATTTGCAGATTTTGTTTATCAATGAAACTCATTTCGTTAAATAATAAGATAGGATATGTGATTACCTTTATAATAGGCTGTCACAATTTCATATACTCCAAATCGAGCTCCTAAACCAAATAGTCTCCCAAAGGCCAACCATCCAAATCCACTGTACAGACCTGCAATCTTCAGTCAGTGAGAAATTAAGCTCTATACAATATGATCCAAGTAACACATTTCCGAGAAGCAGACAATTACCATGTTGAATAAAGCAACATATGACATAGAGTTAGTTCAACAATATGATGGGGATTCGAATCTCAACCAAGATATAATAGTCCAAACCCACCGCTAAAAGATATTGTCCGCTTTGGCCTGTTACGTATCACCGTCAGTCTCACGGCGTTTGCTAGGGAGAGGTTTCCACACCCTTATAAGGAATGTTTCGTTCCCCTCTCCAACCGATGTGGGATCTCACAATCCACCCCTCTTGGGGACCTAGCGTCCTTGCTGGCACACCATCAAATACTTGTAATAGTCCAAGCCCACCGCTTGCAAATACTGTCCTCTTTGGACTTTCCCTTTCAGGGTTCCTTTCAAGGTTTTTAAAACGCGTTTGTTAGGAAGAGATTTCCACACCTTTATAAAGAATGCTTCGTTCTCCTCTCTAACTAATGTGGGATCTCACACAAGAGGTCGAGAGTATTATAATAATCCAAGAAAAATTAAAGAATCACCTGAATTTCCTGAAAAGGATTGAATTCTATGTAGAGCCTGAGTTGTCGTCAACTGTTTACCAGATCCTAAAGGATCAGAACCAACCTATTGTAGAGCAAAGAATTACATCAACTCATATAGATATATTTTCAAGACAGAAAATATTCACAGCAGCAAGATATTAAACCTGGATAAGGGTTTTGATAGTGTCAAGAGGGTAAGTAAGAACTGTGCTTAGTGTCACTGAGCCAGCAGCAGCAACTGCATGGGTTGCGAAGATTTGGGTCTTCAAAAACTCATCCATTTTAAGCATGCTAGCAGATAAATGGCCTCTACTCAGCTCATTTAGTTATTGCTACAAGAAATGGTATCAAAATTACATATCAATTGGGCAAGAATGAAATAATGCTCAAGATCGAAGACTAAAACACATAATCTAGAAACGAAAAAACCGCAAATATATTGAAATTTCCAATCATAAACGCTTAAGATAACCATTTAGTTTTTGAAAATTAAGCCTATAAATGATATTTCCATGGCTTTCTTTGATTCACTATCTACTTCTTGGAGGTGTTTTTAAAATCCAAATAAGGTTTTGAAAACAAAACAAAAATTGTTTTTAAGAATCTGTTTTTGTTTCTGAAATTGACTAAGAGTTAGAATCTGATGAGAAAACAAACACAATTTTCAAATACCAAGAGCTAAAAACCCAAATGGTTATCACAATTTTCAAGTATTTGGGAGACTCATTTAAAAGTTTTTAGCTGTTGTGAGAGCAATGGGAAACTGAATATTCGTATCACTTCTTTTTCTGTTGTTTGCAAAATTTCTTCTACCTCCCGCACTTCAGTATGTAAATTTACTTGAATCAATTCAAAAAAATTCCAGGNACTACCCACCCAAACAAAGCCCTTTTTGTTCACAGCCCAAAGGACAAAGGGGGAACCAGTTCAATTTGAAAATATTGATCCATCAAACAAGTCCAACAAAAAAAAAAAAAAAAAAAAAAAAAAAAGGAAGGATAAAAGGAAGTCTATCGTGTTTAATCAAGGCATTTGATACTTCAGTTTCATCCGCCCTAGAAATGAAGAACGACAAGGAAACCAACTTTGCTTGACAAGAAATTCGCAGAAAAAACACAGAGAATCAGAACGCCATAAATATATATGTGTATATAGAACATCAAAAGTACCTTTTCAATGAGAAATTTGGCAGCGATTACAATGAATAGCTAGTGCAGTGGAAGTGTGAAGGGCTCCGGCGAAGTGGGAAGCAGAGAGCAGGAAGCAGGAAGAGAGAGCCGTCGCAGATAGAGAACCAGAGGCATTTTTAGGGAACTTAAGAAATTGGTTCGATTTGGTTTAACAGATTATCCGAACCGACCGACTCGGTTCGGTTTATTCATTTTCAGCACACCGCCGCTAATTGACAGAGATAGGTAAAAAAACAGTTGTGTTGAACGGATATTAAGTTAAATTAATAAAAATATACCTAAAACTTTGTGCATTATTTAAAAAAAAAAAAAAAAACCTTAATAATACATATATTATTAGATATGCACAAAATCAAAATATTTTACGCATTTAATTATATTGAAAATTAAAAGTTATCTATTAATTTTTTTGAAATTGTTTTTTAAAGAATATATATATATATATAATACCTTAATAATACATATATTATAAAATGAAAAGTTACCTATTAATTTTTTAAAAAATATTTTAAAAAGAATATATATAAAAAAATGAAAAAAAATTCTGAATTAACTCAATTCCTCGAATTTCTAGTGGAGAATCCGTACCTGAGAAATTTAATTTTGTTTTTCATTTTAATCGAAGTTTTTATAACAAAGTTGAAAAAATGAAAGGAATTCTTTTAAAATACAAAGATCAAATAAACATTAAATTTAGGAAAATGATTCATATAATAGTAAATTTCATTGATGAGTGATAGGTTTCTTGAATACATGTATTAATTGCAGGACATATTATAAAGACTCCAAAGATATAAGAATATCATCATCTCTTTCTTCTTCTTTCCCTTCCAGCTTTCTTCTTTTGGGGTTGATGCAGGGTGGGTGGGATTACCTCATATTTTCTTCCACTAAATAAATAATCCTAGAAATTTGAAGTTCTTGATGAACCTCACTGTTCTTTTTTTTTTTTTTTTTTTTTTTTTTTTTTTTTTTTTTTTTTTTTTTTNNNTTTTTTTTTTTTTTTTTTTTTTTTTTTTTTTTTTTTTTTTTTTTTTTTTTTTTTTTTTTTTTTTTTTTTTTTTTTTTTACTCTTTAAAATAAACTCTTCCAAAGAATGCGTCACCGAACACAAACGATTCACCGATTCTGAAGCCCCTCGATCGCCTTCTTCCACTGCCATGCTCGATGTTTCGCGTCCTCAAAAGAGGCAATCTTTTTTGGCTGAAGAATGAACAGTTTGAGAAACAAAACAACAGAATATGATAGATCTAATAAAGTTATTTAGAAAAAGAAGGCATGGAGTTCATGTGGCATACTGTGCAGATCTTGAAATTTGAAGGACTGGTCACTTGAATGTTGAGATCATTAGGATTGTCAGACCAAATGATATTCCCCTTCACAATAAGCTTTGAAGGATCAACATAAATCAACTTTGGTTTGTTGGTGAGGATGAGCTGAACCTTTTTGCTTGATAGCTTTTGAATTTTTTTCACCATTGAGATCATAAGAACAGATTCTCCAGGATCAAGGAATTGTTGCCTGTTATAAGATGAAAATTAACTAGTATATCGTCACGAAATCAAATCTAAGACATCTTTCTCGAGCAAACATAATATAATAAATGTCACGAAGAAAACAAATACCATTTTGAATCGAAGGAGTCTATCGATGCAAGTCGAGTAATATGATTTGATCCTTCGGAAGTTGATGCAGAACCAGCATTCCCATCGTTTTGTCTCGATGTACTGTCACCAATATGTGAAGGATTCCAAGAGGACTCGGTGCCATCGTCGGTCTCGTTTGAATTGGTCTACATAATGAAAAGCGAGATAATGTAGTTGACAAGAACGTGTGGATCAAATAACTGATGCAGGACAATATGGATAGCAAACAGTACCGAAGCTTCTAAAGCAAGCCTGGGAGGGGTTTGTGTTCTTATGTTCTTCCAATCAACCCCATCAAAGAAGGGATGATTCTTGAGGGATGCATAGCCCTCAGCTCCGGCGCCCGGTCTCTTGATCGGATCTAAATCCTGGAACGGATTGAAGACGAGTTAAGGCCAAACTCATGCATAGAACATAAGATAAATATTTTGATCAAGTCTGGAAGTGCTAAAATATTATGCATTGTAGCATACGTACCAATAGGTGGTCGATGAGATCCCTGGCTTGCTCCGAAAAATAGCTCGGGAATTTTATATCTCGTGCTACAATTTTTTGGAAAATAAGCCACTCACTTGCATCCTTAAAAGGAGAGGTCCCCGACAGCATCTGGTACACGGTGCACCCGAGAGCCCAAAGGTCATTTCTGTTTCCAAATCCAAAAAATCCATTTTGTTACATGGAGTGTAAACGAAAATGAACCGATAGAATTAGCGAACACGAACATAAAGACCAATAAAATCTCCCGACTTTCAAGACTCAAAAAGACGGAAATATTACTCAATGAGACCATCACATAGCGACTGCCCCTCTCTAAACCCTTGGTTACACGGCAAAACCATGATTTTTTTTTTGTTTCTCTCTCCTACATTCAATTGTATAAAACTGTAACAGCCCAAGCCCATCGCTAGCAAATATTGTCCACTTTGGCTCGTTACGTATCGCCGTCAACTCCACAGTTTTAAACCATCTGCTAGAGAAAGGTTTCCACACCCCTATAAAGAATGCTTCATTCCTCTCTCCAACTGATGTGAAACCCCCCTTGGGAATCCAGTGTCCTCGTTGGTGCACCGTTCAATGTATGGCTCTGATACCATTTGTAACAGCCCAAGTCCACTGCTAGCAGATATTGTCCGGTTTAGCCCGTTACGTATCTCCGTCAGCCTCACATTTTAAAATGTGTATGCGAGGAAGGGGTTTCCACATTCTTTATAAGAATGCTTCATTCCCCTATTCAACTGTCATGGAATTTCACAAAAACCATCTGCCAGACTACTGGTCAAATAATTTCTCCAACAACATTAGTGTAAAGTAATATCGTTATGAGCAGTAAGTAAGATGAACTTGTTACCCAAAAGTTGCAGGGGAAGAATTAAGGACTTCTGGAGGAACATATGCAGCAGTGCCCACAAATGTACAAGCTTTATCATCTACATGTAAAAATTGGTGCGATACATGTCAAAACGCGTTGAATAAGATTCAAGTATAATTTTTTGCGGCGATATGAAATGAAACGAACCCGATGCTGCATTTGGAAGAACCGTAATTCGACTATCGACCATCGGCTTTACACTGCCAAAATCAGCTATTTTGATATGTCCATCAGAAGTAAGTAGCAAATTTTCAGGCTGGCAAAGAAAAGTTATTTAGTTTTTTATGTGCCACAGATCCACAATAACGCAGCAGATAAGAGATCTAAAAAAAGAAAAACCTTGATATCTCGGTGTATCAATCCCATGTTGTGTATGTATTCGAGGGCATCGACCACTTCGGCCGTATAAAACCGAGCTTCTTCCTCTGACAGACGACCTTTCTGTTGAAAATTACTCGATGTTTAGAACGAAAAAAATGAATATGTCAACAAACATATACATTTGCCATAACCCGACAATATGACATCTTTTTTCCAGAATGCAAACGCAATATCAAAGCCATCCAAAGCTTGAAAAACTGATTTTACACTTCAAAATATCAGAGTCGCAAAACTCGAACTTCTAAATGTAAAAATATGCATAGATTAATCAAATTAACGACTTCACTAAATTTTAATGTCTACACTCACAAGAAATAGCATAATTTAAAAACATATTCTGTGGGGATTTATAAACTTCACAAGGGATCACCTTGCGAGCGAGAGAAGAACAAACGTTTAATCAACTTACCCTAGTTATCTGATCAAAAAGTTCTCCGCCTTCACAAGACTCCAATGCCATGTCTTGACATCAAAATCAAGAAATGAGTATCAGTAAGAAAACGAGATGGATATCAGAAAACCGTGTAAATAAATAAGAGCATAGCAACTTTTTGACGAAGCAGACAAAACAATATGGAATATAAGAACGTTCACATAAAAACGGTAAAACGATACATACACAAAGAAAAAGTATCCTGAAAGGTAAAAAATAGTCTGACAACACCAGGATGATCCAACTGATCAAGAACAATTCTTTCCAACTTCACATAAGCAGTTTTATTTTCTTTGGTGATGAATTTTTTGTCCATTATCTTCAATGCATATACAGTTCCTGTGTCCTTCTTCTTCGCCCTTACAACCTGGTGAGAATATTTAAAAGATACAGATAATGATTATAACGAAAGCAATCAGCTAAATATACTAAAATCATTTTTAATCTTTCAAAATTCTCAATTTAAAGTTCTACCCGTTGGCTTAATGCTCCGTTTGATAACTATTTAGTTTTTTCTACAACATTTCTTTTCTACCTATACGAACAAAAACAAGTTTTTGAAATCAATTTTTGTAGTTTTCAAAACTTGGCTTGGTTTTTGAGCACTTCGAAAACGTAGATAACTAAACAAAGAAATTAATAGGAAGAAGTAGCGTTCATAAGCTTAATTTTCGAAAGCTAAAAACTAAATGGTCATCAAACATGGTTGTTTTGTTTTTATATATTTGAACACATGTGCATGCTACTAGGAAGAAATAGATTTCGTTAATGAGTATATGAAACGATTCCATTGATGAGCGGGTCGAGTTTCATTTGTCAAGTAGCATTCGAGCAAGATCGAGACAAAAAAGGAGAGAAAGGATGAAGGTAAACACAACAAATGCTCCAATTTATATGAATTTAAGGGATCCTAGTTCCATTTTAATCCCATTTATTAACACGACCTTGAGTACATGGAATAACCTAGGAGTCTGGATAAAAGAAAATGGATCCTTGTTCATAAGATTTAGAATCGGTACAGGAAATTTAATCACATTCTTTAATAATATCTACAGATTCTAACCTCGATACTCAAATTATCACAGAACCAACAAAATGCCATTAATGGAATCACATGAACAGAACAGAACAGAACAATACAAGACTATAATTATATAAAAAAAATTAAAATTAAAAAAATCCAGAGGAAATACCTTGGAATATGAACCAACTCCATATATCTTCCCCAATTCAAAATCCTGGATTGTAAAATTCTCCTGAGGAGCACGAAAGGAAAAGCTCTTGGATCTCGGAACATTGGCGCCATTAGAACCGTTGCCCTGAATCATCAACTTAGCATCAAAATCCTTCTCCATTGCCAACATCGCTATCTTCAAAGCCCCTTCCCTACATTAATCTCACCCAAGCTCTGTTCTTGGGCACGGAGCCAAGAAGGTGAACAGTAGCAACAACAAGAACAAACGAGAAAGCAGAGGTTCGATCAGAATCCTTTTGGTTTTTTATCCTCGTTTTTTGTTTATCAACAGATTCTGGTTTTAGAAAGGGGCGGAAAAGAAAATGGGAAGTCGGAAGGATCCCCTGATTTTAGAGATGCAATAACATGGAAAGCCGTGAATGAAAACCAGCTTTTTTAGCTTTGTAACCAAAATTCAAAACCCTAGAACGTTAGGATGAAATTGGGGAAAATGGAGGAGGAGGAGGAGAGAGAAGGTGAAGGAAATTTTCATGGAAGAGAGAAAGGGGAGAGATGTGGGGATTAGAGAGAAGACAGGAGGAGAGAGAGATAGGTTGAAGCACATGGGATTGGATGATGGAGAGATCAACCTTCTATTTTTTCCCCCCGCCTTCTGTTTCTCTCTCCCCGTGCTCCTAAACTTGGAGGGCTACACCTTTTTCTGAAAAACAAAAATATAAAAAACTTTCTTAAAAATTATAAATTTAATTTTTTTTTTCGAAATTCACTAAACTAATATACATGATGGTATTGAAAGTTCGGGTTAAACATAAATTTTTTATTTTTTTAATAATTTATTACATAAAATATATCATATATTTTGTAAATTTTTATCTAAATCTTCAAATTTAGTTGTAATTTAAACTATTTAAAATAAATCAATTTGAACTTTCAATTAAAATTATATTTAAAAATAGTGATTTGCAATTTTAGTCCCTTAACTAATTTAAGTATTTATTTAGTTTATACCAAATTTTGAAATTATAAATTTAGTATCTAAATTTTTAAATTTCTTTAAGTTTCAAAAAATGCGAAAAATTTATTAAATACAAAATAAAAAATGAGTACGCGACCCATTAGACATTTTCACTACTTAAACTTTTAGTTTAAAAAGTCGAGAGGACAAAATATGAAAATAATTCAAAATTTTGTGAGTCACGGTTTCTTGTTGAGAGATGAGTCACGAGACCTTTTAGAAAAACCAAAAGTAAAGTCATATATGAATTATATATATACACATAGACTGTAAAGTTGTTTTGGGGGCTGTGGGCTCACCTCAAAAGCAATGGAATTATCAATCTCACCACTTTCCCTATTCATTCAACCCATTTCCAACTTTTACTTTACAGTCAAACATATCAAACATCAATCAAAAAGATAATCATCACATTAAACACACATTAAACACATTAATTAATGGATTAAACTATAAACTAAATGGATATAAGGTTTAATAAAAATAATGTATGAAAAGAGAGATCAAGAGCTGGTTGATGAATCAAACAATACATTCATTAATTGGACAGCTACACAGTAGTTTCACTATATGCCTACCCAGAAGAGTGGAATTTAAAATTTTCTACTAAAAACCATTTTGATAATTCAGAGCTTTCCTTTGCTTGCCCTTTACCTTTTTGTAGGTAACACAATCCTTCAAATGAAGCTACAACAACAGGTGATGGAATACCCAAGCTGCGAGCCATCGGGGTGGCGAGTTGACGAACGTCTCAAAGCCAGTCAAGAACAGCCATCTTTCTTGCACACGGGAAGTGGGAATCGGTTTTCGGAACGGGCAAAAACAAACCACGACAAAGCAATGTACATCTCACAGACTGAAAATTATAGATATCTAAACTCCCCAACTAAATTCACAAGGGGGAGGAGTCTCGCTCGACATTGGAAGTTCACTAAGATCGACTCGGGAGAACCTCTTTCGGTCGTTACAAATCCCAGCCATCTTTGCGCCTGTTGAATCCCCATTTCCGATCTGCCAAATTCCCGTACAACTCGGAGAACTTATTGAGACAGTCACTTCTAAGCTGATAGTGAACTTGCGTATTTTTGCTAATAGCGGCACCAGAGAACTTTGACGTGTCGATAGCCCAAGCGGGTCTCACGTATTCTACTGTTTGTGATGAGCTTGCATTGGCATACAGAAAATTCAATAAAACATCTTCACAATTAAAGAACGTTTCGACCAAATCCCTGCCTGGCCTGGCAGCTGCACTCCAGTACCTTTGGAAAGCTAATTGGCTATCAATGAAAGCTGCCCCTGTAAGAATCATATTGTATCCTTTATGAGTTCGGGCGTATTTCTCAGCTCGGTATTGCAACGGACTTCCATTAACAAGTCGGGGATAGAAGCCGACAATGCGATCGGGGTGTTGGCGCCATACCCTAAAACCTCGCTCAACATCGTCACAAGTCATCATTATGTCATCGTCAAGCTCCAAAACAGCTCGAGTTTTTATTAAAGGATCCAACTTAAACCGATTATTAAGCGAGTTCTTCTCTTCAATTCTGATTCTCACAGGCACAACTGAATCCAAATCACTCATTTTCGGAGGTGTTCCCTTGTTCCACACCACAACGATCTCTCGAACAGATGAGCATCTTGAATAATGTTTCAAATACATTTTCAAATTCCAAAGACGAGCGTCGTAAGTCATCGTGAGTAACGTGAACTGAGAGTAGTGGTTTTTAAGCGGGTAAGCTTCTTGGGCACCATTGCCCCCGTATACATATTTCACGGCAGTACACATTAGTGCACCTCCCAAAACAAATAAAATAGCAAGAACGAGTCTACCGGTGCAAGTATTAGATTTTACCCAACTTCGAAGGATTGAAGGTGCTCTGTTCACTCGGCTGCAAAATCGCCTCACTTTCGAAGAAAATAAATTCGACTTTTCCCATGTTAAGATTGCGTCGCTTCTCTTTCCTGAAGTATAAATGCACCAATTAAGAGGAACAATACAGTTCACTGCTCCAAGTAACACACCGAGTAACACAACAAGAACAGTAACGACAGCAAATGAAGCACAACCAAGAAGTAATCGAAGAACTGAATCACCCGAAGGTACTCGATCTCCATCCATCACCCCAATCCATTTACCAGAACTAAGCTGCTGAGCATCAACATGGTGATAGCGAATACCATTCCAAGCATTACGACCCTTGACAGGTTCTACTAAGCCCAACGGAACTTCTACTTCCTTGTATCTATCTGTTGTAAGAACGTCGATCCTGAAAACACGAACTTTCTTGCCATAAGTTTCACCACAATCTTGACCAAATCGATAAAGGCTACCCTCATGAACAAACGGCCTGCCTCCATTACGAGCACCAAAGCTTTTATCGACATTATAGATAGGGTTCCTCTTATGAGGCTTCCAAGGACCAAGGGGCGAGTTACTATACCATATCGCCAAATGCCCATTTTTTTTGGTACCGAGCCCTCTATGATCTGACCCGAAAAGCCAGTACATACCATTGTGGTTGATGATGACTGAATCGACAAGGGGCTTCTTGAGGATAATTCTATCCAGTTCCCACTTCAAAGGAAAATTAACTGCCCGATAAAGTCGAACTTCCCCTTTCTGACTGCTTTCCGGCATCATGTATATCTGCAAGAAATAATAGACGAACTATTAAATTTTTGGAAGCGATTCAATCAAATAGACACTGTAGATCTAGTGCATAAACAATTTATCGATATCTTCATCCACATTTCTGTAAACTTGAGACCTCGACATTGACATTTTAAGCCAAGGTTATATGTGGCAGAAAGACCATCTTTAGAAATGATTATACACCCAAAAAAAAAAAAAAAAAAAAAATCCCTTACCTCACCGAGATGTTCAAAGACGTATGGAAAAGAGAGATGCCATTTCTCGTCCAAAGCAACACCTAGTAGCTGCCATGTTGCTCCATTATCCACACTCTTCGCAACACCTATATCTCCTTGTAACGAGACTGAGTTCTTGGTTTCGTAAAATAAGTAAATAATATCACCCTGCCAATATAATTAAGCACATCGGTTATGTTCATTGTTGTACACATTATAATTGATGACAAGATTGATTTGTTCGTGAAAAGGGTAAACACGCTCATAAGAAGGTGCAATGTACTGATACATAGTTTTCAATCTAATATATAAATTTGAATAAAAAGGTACTTATAAAAGTGTAAGGATCCTCAAAAAAAACATTTCGAAGTGTAAAGGCAACCACATGAAATAAGGGTCAAAGTTCGAGGACTAATATTACTGGACATTAACCAACTTGAACATAGCTTCAACTAATTAAGATATGAACTCTCAACTGAAAGGTCAACATGTTGAACTGAAGTTTGAGCCCAACTGAAAACAGTTCGGTAATAAGAAGTAGCCATAATAGCTACATCCAGAGTCGCCCGACCTAACTGATATCACACGGTCATTTCCTAATAACATTTATGACTTTTATAGTATATTTCTGTCTCTCGATTCTCTTTTATTTTGACACGATGGAACTTCGTTTATCATGATTGAAGACTTATCATTCCACAGCTAAATCATCATTCCGGACTATCGTTGAGAATAAATGAAAGACTACACAGACATACAAAAAGAAAAGCCCACAAAAAAAAAGAGCAAACTACAAGAAAGGGCTCCGGGCTCCGAACAAGCGAAATAAGACTAAAAACTTAGATTGTCTGATAAAAAAAAAACGCTCTTTTTAATACATAAAAGTCATTATTTCATCTATTTATAATACTTAAAAAACTTATTACCATCTACATCGTCTTACACGAAATGTTAAGAAAATAAAACAGGAGGATTTCTGAAACTTCCATAACATAGGCTGGTCTGCAGAAAGCTATGCCCAGGACTGGCATTCAATTTGGCCTTTGAACAACTTTGTAGCATTCCCATGAATACCTATGAATATTAAACAACCCACTCAAAGACGGTAAGCCTTCCCATCCGCTCGAAAGAACCTCTAAGGTGCAATTTTATCAAACAATTACGGACCAACACAGGACCAAAACCAAAAGGCTGATTATTTGTTGAGTTCAACAATAAGTGGAGGCGAGGGATTCAAACATGACCTCTTGGTTAAAGACATGTGTCTCAACCAATTGAGCTATGCTTATATCGACAAAACCAAAAGGCTGACAGTTATGAAGTTTCGCAATAGGTTTCTGCGCTATATTCTTCATTTTATCGACAAAAACCAAATCTACTGTCTCACAACAATTTAAAAGCCCACTCGGCTTCATGAACGAACTGCTAATCAATTCTATAGTAATGTATGTATCATTAAGATTACAGGGCAAAAAACAATTAAAAAAAGAACTAAGAAATGCACGTTCCACTCGTTCTTTCGCAATCAAATCCAAACAAACATCACCACTACTACAACACACATTAAATCCTGAACCCTGTAATGATTTCAAGATTCGAACTTACGACGTATTGGAATGGCTAAATTCCGACCAGCCAAATAAGCCAACAAGGTACAAACCGATTCGGCCGTTCCTCTCTTTATTTCAACAACGATTTCTCATACGTGCTGTTTGAAGTTGTTTACTGACCAACTATTTTTTCAAAAACATAATCAAGTCCAATAAAAGTGCTATCGTGAACTTCATTCTATTACGGGGAAACAATCTTAAAGTTGCAGAACAATCAAATAACCATAGAATTGCGTGAATCACAACAAAAAGTTGCAGCATAAAGAAGGTTTTAATTCTTCAGCCGCCAAAAAAGGCAATGAAGAGTTACCTGAACAAACAGAAATGGGTCAGCAACAAAATTACTAGGAAAGCCAGCATTAGAAACTGAAGCACAAGTGATAACAGGATTAGCAACTGGCCAGGCAGCACTTTCGTTCCTCCATACATTAACCTGCACTCAATTAAAACCTCGCTTAGCTAAAATCGAAAGGATAATCAAGAATCTCTGATATGCAGAAATTCCAAGAGTGTTCAACAATAAGAAGCAATAAAATAACCATTTCACATCAAGACATGCATAGAAACTCTTAGAAAACAAAGGAAAATACACAAAATAATCCAAAAAAAAAAGGAAGAACATGAAGAATTGGATGATTGTTGAGATGAACTCACAATTTCGATGGGTTTAAGAGAGAAAGGAGAATCGCCGTAAAATACCCCAATAGACCAAGAACCCTCACTGTCTTCTTGACATCCAAGCGATGAAACGCCGCTGATCGTACGAACATACTGAGGGGTAAAAGTTAACCAAGCGTAAAGTGTAGCAACCGATCCAAACAAAACGAAGCATCCGAAGAAGAAGACGGACCCTGAAGAGACCAGTCTGAGGTGTCTCTGTTGCCACTTCCATCCACAACCGCAGCTGCTAGTGGAACCATTGGCGCCGCCGCCAACTACGCCGCCACCTTTACCCGAAGCACCACTGCCCATAACGGAATTATTCGCCGCTCCACTTCCACCAGCCCCAATTGGACTCGAACCCATCTCGAGATGAGTCAAAGGGACCTCTCCGTCGACGGTGAGATCTCACACCGCCGCCATATCGCCGGAACAACGACGGAAAACTCTCAACGGCATTTAGACAACACAAAATCCCTTGGTTTTTTGTTTGATCTCGGATTTGTTCGAACTGCAGTTTGGGATTTTGGCGGAGTCAACGAAAACAAGCGGTGGTTCCTTTCGTGAATGGAAGAATGGCGGGTTCGCAAATAGGGAGTGAGGAAATTATTGAACAAATATATTTTGGTTTTTTATTTTCTCAACAAATAAAACGGGGCGAGAGACGAATGAGAGTGATATTTCGCAAGTGCTGGTTCGCTATTGATTCGGTGGAAAGTTTTGTACAAACTCCAAATTGAGGGGTTTGATTTATCCGCGTTTGAAATTTATCGGTACTCGCCGTCTCCATCGTCACACGCGTGCAACACACGGCACGTGTTGTTACGTCAGCGCCACCACGTATGATTGAATTTTTGGCGTTTTTTTCCATGAATTCATGAATTGAGTGCCATAAAGTTTTAGAGTTAAATTTAATTTTATACCCAATTAAATATAAAATTAAAGGTTAGATATAAAATTAAAATTAAAAGTTGATGGAGCTATTAAATAATTTGTTAAGTTAACTCAAAATTAAAATTTATAATTTACAATTTAATCTCATATAAAAACACTCTAGAATTTGAGGTATATTTTAAACTTGCAATTATGCCTGACATTTAAAATGTTTATGAACTATAATTTTTTTTAAATAGACTATTAATTGAAATTAATAGTTGACAGAGTGATACTATTTACAGCTGTATAAATGATATAATCTCATTATTATCATTTATTTCATATAAAGATTTATTATTTAAATCTTTATTTAATGTCATGTTAATCTAAATAAAACACTGTAAATGATGTGATGTATAACTAACACAGTTTCTATTTTATTTTAGTAAAGAAAGCTTTCAAGGAGTATTGTTTTATAATTGGTTTCAAACTTGAATAGTAGAAATTAAAATTTTCAATATTGACATTAAAAAATATATATTTTTTTTTTTAGAATAATAAATTAGTAATAATTTTATAAAAAAGAATAGTATTAAGCTAAAAAAATAGATGAAAAATAAATTTATAAATTATAAATTTAAATTCTACCAATTTACTTCATAATATAATTGCAGAAAAACTGCCGTGAGAATTAAGGCACAATTTAGATGCTCGATAAGTTTTGTGAAATAAACTTTAATGTGTTGATTTGATTGACGGAAATTCATAATTTGAATTTTGGTTTCTAAAAATAAATATAAATTCCCTTCAAAAGCAAGCCGTGGAATGGATGCTTTGGTGGAAAATTCAAATCATAATCGCTTGTCCCTTTCGTTTATTTTGTTCCAAATTTAATTAATTATATATACACGCGCCATCAACTTTTCTATCACTTTATTTCATTTAATATCTTCAAGTATATTATTTTCATGGTTTAATTTTATTAAAATAACAAATATAATAGTAAATGAAAATGAATCGTTTTAAACTTGTGTGGTAAATTAAATATATATTTAAATTTCAAATGTGTGCCACGACAGTTTATCATAAATTATAATCACCAAAATTATTTTTAAAAATAAAATATGGGAAAAATATAAAATAAGAAAAAAAAATACAAATGATGAAAATTATTTATTTATTTATTATTTTCAGCCGTCAAAGTCATAATTATTACGACATTTGCAAGTGGTTTTTCTGGTAAAGTGTTGCTTAGTCAGAAATTGTAGCAATTAAAATATTCTTAATCTAAAATGGCTCAAAGTATTGCTTAAATATGATTTATTTGACACCCAAAACTATTTTATGCTAGAAAATTAAGCAAATTAAAATTATTTTAAAATTTTTCATTTTCAAAGTAGATTTTTTTTTTTTTTTTTTTACAATAATTTAAATATTAGTCTCTAATCACGTATCCTACATGTTGGCCCTGATACATTTGCAAGATTTTTCATTTTTTAGTTGAAATTGATGGGTGGCGATGCTTCTATACTCTCTCCGAATTGAAAGGATAAGGTAGCCAACGTTGACTTCACTTGAACTCCGGTCGGTCAATTTTGGCCATCTCGCCTTCTTCAGTTGATATGTTGGTCGACACGCCATCCTTTCCTCGATGATCGTTAAGAAAATGAATTTTTCTAATTTTTAAAAAATTAATAAGTATTTTTAAAATAAAGAAAGGAATTTCGAGATATTTTCTATATTATTTTATTTTATTTTATTTTTAAAGAACAACACTATGAAATGGCAAGGGATCGATTGATTACTGTTGGATGATGAAAGTCCCACATCGGTTAATTTAGGGAATGGTCATGGGTTTATAATCTAAGAATACACTCTTAATTGGAGTGAGGCCTTTTGGGGAAGCCCAAAGCAAAGCCATGAGAGCTTATGCTCAAAGTGGACAATTGTCATGAGAGCTTATGCTCAAAGTGGAGGAGAGTCGTGTTCGTCTAACAATTACGACAAATTGCAATAAATAAGCTTTTCTCACTTTCACATGGCGGGAGCGTGTCTTTGTCGTGATGAGGGCGGCTGGAATTTGATTTGGTTCGGTTTTGTCCCGTTTCCGTTGTATTTGCGGTGGCAGATTCAAAGAAAAAGCTCACCACGTCACGTGACAGCGGAAGATTCAAAGATTAAAGGCTAAAAAGGCACCGATAACAGCTGCAACTTGTGTTCCTATATATATATATATCTACAAATAAGATTAAGAAAATCTCTGCCATTTATATATATAAATATTATCCACATTATTTTTTACAAGAATTTGTGTTTTTGTAAAAAAAAAATTAAAAAAAGAAACAAAAATTAGTTCTTGCCTTCATGTAAAGTTTATAGGTTTTAATCCTAAGCTTAAAAAATATTATAATTTTTATGCCAAGTTTCTAATTAAATATTACTTTTTAAAAAATAAATTCATAAAATTAAATACTTTCTGCATAACTACTATTAAAAAAATAACTCTCTATAAAGTATTTCGTATCTTTACAAAGATATGATATTTTCAACTTTAGATAGAAACTTTCGTGATTTTATTGGAAACAATTTAAAGTATTTCGTATAAATTAAGATAATTGTCTTTACTTGTGTAGGACAGTTCTTTCCTTCCATAATTAATGTTTAATTTTATTTACACTAAATACCCACAATATTTTTTTGGTAGGATACAATACGTTTTTACTTCGTAACAATTAATTAGTGTTTAGGACATAATAACTACGATGTCTCTCGTTGGTGCTAACTCAATTTATATAAAAAAAATTTGATTCTTTTGAAGGCGTTAATGTCAAAATGTGATTCTCTTTTTTAATTATTAGTTTTTTTTTTTAATTTGTTAATTTAAAACTCTTCGAGATCCGCCGTTATTTTTCTATGCTTCGTTCATTTTGTAGAGTGGATGATTTTTAAAAATATTATTCTTAGTTAAAATTAAAATCTATTATTATATGTTTTAATAAGTTTAAAATACAAAATAGTTTGAAAAAAAAAGACTCAAATTAAATTAATTTCGTCGATTTAACTTTTTTTTTATATATATAATTTATTACTAACAGCGTGGACGTTTCAGGGGCCTCGACATGGGCTTTTTCGCTTGCTCTTATTTTTTCAAATAGGCCCAATGGGCTTCTCGAATTGCAATATATATTTTTATTAGAGATTTTTGTAGATTTTTTCTCAACATCGCCGATGGATTAATTTAGAAAATAATCACGAATTTATAATTCATAATAATATTTCTATTGATTTGATTGAGACTTTTTGAAAAAGTCCAAAACAAAGTCATGAAAGCTTTGCCATATCAATCGAATTCTCAAATGTCGACAGAAGTATGAAGGTGAGTCATTTCAACTATCCTTTTCGTACCTTAAACTTAGCCAGATTAATAGAATTCTGAAATGTTTTTTTTTTTTTTACATATATTTTATTAGAAATATTAATGAAAATTTAAGAGTTATTTTTGTATTTTATTTTTATTTTTTAAAAAAAGTAACAAGAAAACCGAATGCATATAAATTGACATTTTAATTTCAACAGGCTATAAATATCATCTCAAAAGATCACAGTTAAGGGAAGAATATCAATCACGGGAAGGCACATCCTCTGAGATTCACAGGAACGTGATCGAGAGTGTGCTGTGAAAGTACGTTAAAGTGAACCAAGGCGTCGATCGAAGTCCGTCTGTGTAAGAGAGCTCTGCCAATTTGCTTCATCGCGCAGCGGAGAACGATCGCGATTCGCCATGAACTGTCTTCAAAACCTGTCAATGTCTGTTCTGAAATGAAATAATCATCTACTTCCGATTCTTTCTGGTTCCATTAATTTCATTAAAGTCTTTTCTTACAGTCTTATTTTCTCTTCGAGTTTCAGATCATCATCTTTGCCGTTCCAGAGCTTCAAATGCCGACAGAGAAAGCCTGAATTCCAGCTCCGCAATCTGGTACTCCGTTCGCGCCACATTATAATTTTGCAGTTTATATACTCTGTGTTCTTTGTATCGAACGGTAAACAGACTGTTTCGCTTGATACAGGTGATAAGGAACTTTGCGGATCTACACCGACGTTTTACCGTGAAGGTAGCTACTGAGAACTTGTGATTATTAGAATTTATAAACGATTGTTTTAATACGATCGATTTGTTAGTTTCACGTGAGTGATTGTTTTCTTCCATCAGTTTTCTGATTGAACTTTTAGCTCCGTTTGAGGCGCAGTAGGATTGTGAATTTTTATATATTGCTATCATATCTCAATTTTGGAAGTGTAGCAAGTCTTACAGCAAATATGTCTGTTCATTCATCTGTAAATAATTGTTTAAATACGATCGATTTGTTAGTTTCACGTGAGTGATTGTTTTTTTCAATCAGTTTTCTGATTGAAATTTTAGCACTGTTTGAGGCGTAGTACAATCGTGAATTTTTATATATTGCTATCATATCTCAATTTCGGAAGTGTAGCAAGTCTTACAGCAAATATGTCTGTTCATTCATCTGCAGTTTTGGTTGTTTTACGTCACTGGTCTCTATAAACAATAAATATTTGAAATCATGACTTGTTGTCTATAGGCAGTATCTGGCTCTACATCAAGTGCCGAAATGAGTGGAGCTGAAGTTGATGATGCCGAGCCAAAGGAGGAAAAATCTGAAATATATAGCCATAACATGACAGAAGCTATGGGGGCTGGTAAGAGCCATGATCCTACGACTCCACTTTGAACTGGAAAATACCTGG